ATTAGAGCAATATGACACCAAAAATGAAAACTCCTTTCTTTTAAAAAGAATAAAATTAATTTATTAAAAAAAAAAAAAAGAATAATAAAAATAAAAATAATAATAAAATTAATGGAGACAATGTTTGATTTCCAATTAAAGATTTAGACTAAACAAAAAAACAGATTTTAAAAGAAATTGAAATCACCTTCTCTAGAGAGCTTTTCCACTAATCACTGAGTGGTAGATGAACTTAGGAGAAGAACGAAGAACGGATCGAGCGACGACTGTGACGAACATTAACTCGTTGAGTTTTTGTTTTATTCTAACAATTTCCGACGATAACTGCCGATAGCTTCATCAACTCTCGCTTAAATAAGCGAGAGAGAATTAACCCCTATTTCTTGAGGTTACTATTCTCAGCAGCTCATTGGCTAGCTGTTAGTACCTAGCCATCTCCCATATTCCTTATTGCTCTTTCCTTATTGGTTCTCGTATCGTTCATTCTATTTACACCCTTAGTGACATAGTTTGAATTTGAAAGCCCTCCAATAGAGTTCGCTAGTCATATGAAGCATATAATTTTAATAACTGAAAATTACCGTTTTTCCTTTAATTGGAAAATCCTACTTTCTATATGCCTTCTGTTAACCTAGTTAAATGAAACAAACAGTTTCTTAATTACTAATGTAACTGAGTAATAAACCTAATTACTTAGCCTAATCAACGGTGTGAAATGAATTAAATTATTCTATACTTAAATACTAATTTTGCCTAAAATAATTGGATAGTTAACTATCTCCTTTGATTTTCCTATTACTATATCTAACTGAGTAATAAACCTGATTACTTAGCCTAAACAACGGTGTGAAATGAATTAAATTATTCTATACTTAAATACTAATTGGATATTATAGTTAACTATCTCCTTTGATTTTCCTATTACTATATAATTTTGTGTTATTGTATCTTGGAAAATCTGGTTCCCGTAATCATTGTTTTAGCCCAAACACATATGCTTCGAATATAAGTTCAGTAACAGTTCTCCGACATCTGGGTTCGCCATAAAACGTTGGGAATTATCGTTCTTGAATACTTTATTACAAACATATGTCGTAATCTGGTGCAGCTACAGATTAGAATCACATTTGGTGTTTATCTAGGAGAACACATAATTTTGCCTAATAAATTTGTCAATTTGGCTTATATTTGACTTGAAACTAATAAAATTTGATACATTTTGCTTTAAGCGTTTTCCCTTAATTCTCGACCAGATTAGTTATCGTTCCCAGAATCGCCATATGTTTGTAAAACCCATTAGGATAACATTTTATCTATTTCTAAAAACCGTCTCTGGTAACTCCCATGAAATACGTACTTGAACCGAGATTTGAAATTTACTATAAATTCTGTTACAGAATCAACAAACGGTGCATTCGGGCGTAAGCCTGTGATGAAAGCTCAACCAACTTGTGGATACAGCGGCGTTTGTGGAAACGCATAGTTTATTGGCGCCGGTGCACGTGCCAGTTTCCTGCGTAATAATAGTGGCGCCAGTATCTGTTTCCACTTGATATCAGAAACTTTCAACTGGCACAGTAGAAAAATGGCGTGAACTAAAGAGGCTCAAGCAGGTTTTGATGTTGTTGTAGAAAATTAGTTACTAGGATTGTAGAAGATTGTCAAACTTGCGCACATGGTAAACTGGCGCCAAAGAGTAGACCTCTATTCTACTTTACTGGCGCATAGATAAGTGGCGCCAGTTAACTGACGCCAGTTTAATTTTCCGAGTTCCCACACGCCAGAAAAGTTGCGCCAGTCGACTGGCGCCAATAAACTATGCATGTGGAAACGCCGCTTATTTACTCATACCTCCGTTACAATAAAAGTTACCTAGACGACATACTAACATGGTCATCACATCACAAAACATCCCCCCTTAGAAATGACTCTTATGAGAGACGTCAGTCTAGTCGTTTCAGCTTTCCCCTCCAATCACTAGAGGCGCTTCAATCAACCTATTAAAGTTTTCTTTTTCCTGCCGGACCGTGCGCCAAGATTTGAAGTTTATTTTGTCATTTCCAGTCGTCAAAATTTAGAATTATCAATTACCTATCAATTATCAATAATTATTATCTCAAAATGTCTTCTCCCAGTTTGTTAATTGAAAAGCATCAGAAATGCTGTGTTCCGGGGTGCGGCGACAAATACAGCAGCTATTTCCGGTTTCCAAAAGATGCCGAAAAAATGAAAAAATGGCTAGAAAAAGTTCGCAATCCTTTACTGAATAGCCTCAGTGTCGAGAAGGCTTATAATAATTATAGACTATGAACAAGACATTTTCCTCGAGAATTTATTGTTGGCGATCCAAAAGACAGACGAGGACTCACATGGAATGTTGCGCTTTTGCTGTATCTTCCTGAAGGTAAGTTAATACTAGATATATGTGAGAAAGACGTACTTACATTTTCACTTACTCCTCCCCATAGTTCTGATTAACGACAACGTGTTAGAATTCAGGTTTAAAGGAGCATAGGTCAGAAACATTAAAATTAATTTCAATTTTAGCCCCAATTATCAAAAACAGTGAGGAGTCGTAAATTGATAAACCACAATCACCAAAATGGCAAAAAGTGGAGATCGACACAGTTGAAACTCGTCGAAGAGTCCTAAGACGCCTTCAGAAATTATTTTCGCAACTATGATTGACATAGGTAGGTAAACATAATAACTCTGTTCCAACACGTCAAAAAATCGTCCCATGAACGGTTTCGAAACCACTCAGTAATACTCAGTATAACAATTTTAGTTTCTGCGCAGAATCGTGACGGTACATTGTACGGTTTTCTGCTGTGTTGGAACAAAGCTAATATTGTTAGAAATATTTTTTCAGGTAATGACCAACGTGAATACAGGAACACTACGGCCCTGTTTGGGAATCGGCCCACTGAGCAGTGGACTCAGGCTTCCCGTGCCAATCCTTGACGCGTTTCGTCCTTGTTAGGACTCATCAGAAGGACATAGGCTGAAGCTCCCTGTCCAAGCAAAATTGAACTTCGTTGACCAGTCAGAAACAACTACTCCGAGGGCAAATACCCCTACCGGCGTTGAACTACACTGATTGGTCTGAGCTTTCGTTGGCAATGGAAATTGTTAGAAATATTTTTTCAGGTAATGACCAACGTGAATACAGGAACACTACGGCCCTGTTTGGGAATCGGATTCCCAAACAGGGCCGTAGTGTTCCTGTATTCACGTTGGTCATTACCTGAAAAAATATTTCTAACAATTTCCATTGCCAACGAAAGCTCAGACCAATCAGTGTAGTTCAACGCCGGTAGGGGTATTTGCCCTCGGAGTAGTTGTTTCTGACTGGTCAACGAAGTTCAAAGCTAATATTATTCATTTCTTTTTTTTAAATGTTTATTCCTTTATCAGGAGACACAATAATTAAAATATTCCTGGTTACATACAGGTACACCATATTCTACAATGCGTGTATCCAAACTTTTTTGGTAGAATCATTGATAACGAAATTTCTGTTTTAGATCAACCAGGCCCTTCATGTCGTCAATTTTTATCTACTGAAACTTCTGCAATTCGGGCAGACATTGCTACACCAAGTGGAACCATCACATCTGCAAACATGAAAAAGTCAGCAACCAACTTTGTCTCTTAAAACTTTTATTGGTAGGTACCTAAGTGTTATTGCTTAATGAATAACCACCCAGTTGGGAGTAGGTGAATTTTAAAACATCCTAACTCAAGTAGGACTACTACTATAAAAGACTACTAATTACTAAAACTTGCAGTCGAATGCTAGAAAAATTAGAAGCTAAATGTGCGAAAAGCTCGTCTCCAATCTTGATCTATTTTTTTTTGCAGGTCATGAGAGACGATGCCAAATTTTAAAGAACATTAACGTCACTAGGCAAAAAATTCCTATCCCCAAGGGAAAAATATCTTTATTCCAAAGTTATAGAATCCAGCAATAAGTTAAGAAGAATCAGTAGAAGGTTGTCGTCATTTAAATCCAAAGTTTCTGCTGCTGAATAACTTGCATCATAAACCAAATTTCAAAGGCTCGTAGACCACGTCAATCCATTGATATACAGCTTTATTTTAAGCCAAGTCCGTACTCAAAACCAAAAGCCTAAAGCTAGACGATTTACATTGAACGAGAAGTTGTTGGCGTTGTCTTTGCTTAAAGCTAGTGGTAAAGGGTATAGACTATTATCAAAAATATTTATTCTATCATCCAGGCGAAATCATTTTCTTGAATGAGCTTTATATTATGTATAACTACATAAACTTTCTACCTAACACATGCGGAAAGTGTATTTTCTGGACTTAAAGGCTTGTCCGAACTCTGCTTTTTGTTGTCATTCGTGCAACTTCCATCACGTGCAGAAACACTTTCCTCACTTGTTAGGTTAACAACGATTTTGGATTGTGAGAAAAGGACCTCTTTTGTCATTTTATTTACGATTTAAGTTTTTCATCAAGCTATTGTTAAATGTACGTCATTACTTCTTGTAACTGTCCTTATTATCTTTAACTTAACTAGCATTACCTACCTATGTATGTATTTACATGAAAAAAAACTGTTTCGCAATAATTGTAATTAATTCCATATTCTTTAATATTTTCTGTTTCAAACTTTAATAAATATCTAAATTTGTCATCTTAATTGTTAGTCAATTTTACCTTGAAGGCGCTTCAACACTACCGATTTTATGAGTTTCTTCTTTTTGGCACAATTATTTTATGCCAAAAAATGGTAGAAACTTTAAAGTGGTGGTGTTGAATCGCTAGAATCAAACAATGGTGCAAACGATCCACCGGAACGAATAAGATACCGAACGAACCCTAATTGCGTTTTGCATTCGCCAATAAATCCAGAATTACAAAAGCTTACCCCCCCCCCCAGTCACTAGAGGCGCTGAAAACTTATAGACAGGTTCTCAACACGGCACTTACCTTTCTAAGGGGGGATGTTTTGTGCATCACATGTCATCAAAAAACGTCGCTATAATACAAAAATTGTCATATCGTTTCTTCAAAGAAAGTTTAAAATGCGCAGCGGTTTTTGGAAATATGTATTATTACTCGTCGCAGTTGCTGCATATTGCTCTGGAGGTAATCCTAGTGTTCCAGAACAAGGGCAGTCCCAAAATTTCAACTTTTTGGTAGAAGTGGTAAGACAAGACACAAAGGAAAGAGTAGCTGTGGGTACCCTGTTATCTCCTACCCGAGTTTTAACTTCACCGAAGGCATTGGATTTTAACACATCAGGTTATGAAGTCCACGTAACGACACGACATAAAGAACGATTTATTATTTCTTCTGTATTGTCCGCTATGGGACAAGGGGCACTGTATCTTGGAGCTTCGGCTGCAGCATCGACACTGGGCAATATCATTGTTAATCATTTTAAAAATCCACCCTACGATGACTACCTAGTGCACCTGAGAATGAAACAAAATCGGTTTAAGAAATGCGATATTGCTATCCTAACCATAAAACCAACACAACCGGTCTCTCGCGCAGATTTAACATTTGTGGAACTGTCATCAAAATCGTCACGGGCTTTAGACAAAGAAGCAGACACACCTTGTAAAAAAGCCAGTGTTTTAGGTTGGAAAGAAAGAGCTACAGTGGATCTTATTGGGACGAAGAAGTGTGCAGAAAAAATCAACATTCAGTCAAAGGGCGAACATTTCTGCAGCTTAAACGAGGAAAATTTATTTTGCGATTCAAATCAACAAGGCAGTCCAGTCATGTGCGGCGATTTGCAAGTTGGTATGTTGATTCCTGGGCGTTACTGCTACGGAACTGAAAACAATCTACCTGGAGAGCCACTTCAGTTTGTTCGCATTGAAGATTATATTGATGGCATCGCCAAAGCAATGGAACCACGAGAAGATGAAAAACCACTACCAAATGATAATTCAACAGTACCAACACCAACAACTGTCAGCGAGGGAATTTGCTTCAAACCCTATACAAATATTTTTGTTTTATTATGGATTGCTATATTATTGTACATTTTTATTTGAAACAATAAATAGCCATTGTATTTCTGTTCTTTGTCACAAAAGATGCATATGAATGCTGGTTAAAATGACATTTCTCCATGTAAAAATGTCATTTTAAGGAATATTTATCGCTAAGTGCGCGTTCACATTGACACCGCTCGAGCGGAGGGTTGTTGGTTGAGCTTTCATCACAGGCTTAATGTTGCATTTACATTCACTTCGAAGTCCAATGGGTCTTTCCCACTCAACTGAATTTAAGTATTTCATTCATATACTTTGGAAGCTTATCCGATAAAATACTTAAAGGGCTATGTATGGTAATATTTGAAATAGTCCGCCAGATTTTGCACCAATCAGAAAACGCTTAGTTGCCCGATTTACCGGCCAAAGCGGTTCCCTATCGACATGTTTTCTTTCTAGTTGAATGAACAAGATAGAAAAGGAAAAAAAAATCGACATAAATGCGCTTTATCGATTTCTATTCTAAGGCGATTTTCAGCCTGGAATGATTATTATTTGGTTTATAACCAATGCATTTCCGCCGTCGCGGTTTTAACCAAAGTAGGGGAAGTTGTGATGTCACATATCAGCTGATTTGCTTTTGGTATTTACCACTTATAACCCAGCTCTGGACTTGGGTTAATTTTTTGGTTACAGCTTTTTGATGTTATTGTTATTATTTTGGGAATTGATATTGGTATTTTTGTGATTTTGCAGTTGTGTTGTGGCCTAGCACAATGGAAGAAGTATACACTCACTCACTCACTGCAACTCGCCATGTTTAGATCGAGGTTTAGATCATCCCCAAAGAAAATCTGTTCGATAAACGAGACTAACGAGAGATTCCGCTCCATTTTTTGTACCTAAACAACAAACCATTGTTGAAACGAAAAAACAAATAGGAATGATAAACATAATCCTACACTGCTATAACCAAATCATTTCAGCGGTCAGTTCCTTGGGTTATGATTCTTGAGTGGTGGGGGGCTGTGACGTCACACCTGGCTGTCAAAGTTGTCAACCAAAAGAATAACCACGGTATTTACCGATAAATAATTCATTCCAGGCTGAAAATCGCCCCTAGTCTATTTATTTGACAATCGAATTCTAACCTAAAAGGGTACCTTTTGCTTTTGTAAATAAAACATTTTCAAAGAGTGAAGATTGTGTTAAAATCAAAGTCAAAGTTAAAATTGAAAGTTGTGGAACAGAGATTCGAAATTAAAAAGGTGAGATTTATTTTGTGTTATTTTTTACCAACAGAACTATATTGTCCAAAGTAGGTTACTACCTACTTGTACTAAGGTTTATTTTGGTTTTTAGATTAGCAAAAGCAAAAACAGAATATAGTCAATACTGTTTAGTTATGTACCACTGAAGACTAAAAAGAGAAAGCCAACATTGTACCTACTGTTCAGTGTAGAACTGTAGAAGAAACCCATAACACAAAAGTACATAAGAGCAAATAGGAGTCATGGCTGGTGAAGCAAATAATAGCATTGTCAGCTGAGAATATAGGTAAAGATTGTGTTGACAGAGAACTCCATTGGGCCCGAAAAACGAAAATCTCACTTGTATGTATGTGTAGGTACTTACATACAATGAATATGATCTAGATTCATTTGAATGTTGTCAGTTTAAAAAACATATTTCTAGAATTATGTAACTAGAATAGGGATATTTTATGTGATAATTTTGTTACCAGACATATTTTATTATTGTTGTTGAAACTTTGAAAATGAAGTTTCTGTAAATAAATAAATTGAAACTTAATTGTATCATAATATTATCATTGAAGTAAGTAGGATTAGGTGATTTCTGTACATATTATTATATAAATTGATACCTAGCTATATGTATATTTCATTTGTAATGTATATTGTACCTATAAACCTGGAATCATTATCAATTTCAATAAACTCTTTAAACAAAATTGAATGGTATATACAGTGTGTCCCAGGGAAAACAGTCCACCCCGATTTATTGGGTTTGGGATGAGAATCCGGGAAAACGCTCGGATACGTCGATGTTTGATTTGAGGGGGAACTATTTTTCAGTTTTTTTCATCCCCGTATCTTCAACCCCCTAGCTAGGGGGAGAACAACCCCCTAAATTTGAATAGGGAATAGGGGTCGTGTCATACCTCTTTTTAAAGGTCTCATCGAGTTCTTTATGGCCCTAGAATTTCATCTTATTATTTTCATCCGTAACGAAATGACAGCTTGTCAAAATCTTGGAAATGGACTATGTTTTAGTAGGAGTAAAAGCGGTACTTACCTCCCTTAATAAAAATATGATTAAAAATACCTACAATTTACAATTCTCGTGTACACTGAGAAAAGTCCCAGGAGAAAATTCTTTGCTGGTTTTTTTTTAGCTGTTACAGTGGGAAATGTTTTAGAGGTAGCAATGTTATTTTGCTTCTACAGAAAAGACCATTTTGCTGAAACTACTTTATTGAAACTTCAAAGATATTTCTTATTCCAAAACCAAACTTTGCTGTTATAGCAAAATTAAAATTTAATGAAAATATTTCTGCTTCTCCGAAATAGAACTTTTCTAAGATAGATAGATACTTTACTGTTCCAGCAAAAAAAAATTCCTGTAATTTTTGTTATTGTTACAGTAATGTTTTTTGCTACCCTAGCCAAATAACTTAACTAAAAATACCGTTCGGACATTTCCGTGATTTCTTCGGGTCCAAAAATAACCGATAAAATATGTTTCGTGTTCATTTTCTTCCATTTTAGTTTAGTAGCTAACGCCGTACGGTGTGGATCGTGGATGCTGTCGAGTCAAGTCGAGTGTCGGTCGCTGGGAATCTTTTTGGAAATGGTGCCAGCGCATCCATCAAAACTAGCAGAAACAACTCTAGCGCCAAACTTTTCATTAATTGACATTATTTCAGATCAGGTAATGAAAGTTTAGAGGTTTAAATAGAGTTTGTTTATCTCCTGGTTTTGTTATGATGGACGCGCTACTACATATTTCCAAAGATTTCCAGCAAAATATTTTTGCTATTGGTGAGACAAATAACTTCCCATGGCTAATAAAACACTTGGCTGATTCTGGCAAGAAATTTTTTGTTCTGAGACAAACGCTTTCCTATTTCAGGAAGCATTTCTAATAACAACAACAAATATCTTTTCTGTCTTAGCAATCTACTTTTCAATAGCAAAAAAGGATGTTTTTGAGGGTATATAACCTCTTTTCTAGGACAGCATAGTTACTTTCCTACGACAGCAAAGTAGCTTTTCTATGCCAGCAAGGTGACCTTGTAGAAACTGTGAGTAAATTCTTTATAAAGTCACTTTGCTACCGCAAATAAACGGTGCAAGTAAAGTTATCTTTTCGGCAGTAGTAAAGATCTTGGCTGTCCCCTATGTAGCCAAAATTATTGGCTACGGCAGCAGAAAAATTAGCTATGACAATGAAAAAAATTTCTCAGTGTACACCTCATTATTAATAATAAGAAAAAACTTCATTTCAAGTATTTTCATTAGGGGAGGTAATGTCTGCCCAGCGAGTCTGTGTCTACGGGGCAACGGTAAGGGGAATGCAGTTGTAAAAAGAAAGGCTGTTTTCATTCATAAAATACCCAGCTGCGTGGGGAACTTTTTGGTGGTGTTATCGTATTGCAACTCGTACACGAAAATCAGCAATGATCAAATCTCCGCCACTGGATATGTCAATATAAATCGATATTCCAAGATGGGAGGATAAAATGACGTGAGCCCTGGCCAATAGCGAGACGTAAGGTGACGTTAGCTCTTTGACAACCGTATGGTTCCCCATGACAACGGCGATCCTGCCAAAAACTCCACCAATCAGGTTCATCCAGGACGGATGCTTGCCAAATTGTCAAAAGCTGATGGTATCTTTAGAAAATGTTTATTTTTTACCATAGACCAAACTGAAGAAATCAGGATTAAAATAAGGATAGGTCTCACAACCACGTTAAAATATTTAGCGTTTTATTATTGTTATCAATATTTTTTTATAAAAAAATGGATTGCCTAGTATTTTCGCTTTTTTATAATTAAACGTGGCAACATGGCACATTTACGTCCGAATTCCTTCCGTAGACTCAGATCCGCTGGGCAAACAATAAGTATCGCTTTTGCTTCCAATTAAACTAATAGTCTATTTCCAAGATTTTGACAAGCTGTCATTTCGTTACGGATGAAAATAATGAGACGAAATTCTAGGGGCATAAAGAACTCAATGAGACCTTTAAAAAGAGATATGACATGACCCCAATCCCCTATTAAAATTTGGGGGGTTGTTCTCCCCCTAGCTAGGGGGTTGAAGCTACAGGGATGAAAAAAGTTGAAAAATAGTTCCCCCTCAAATCAAAAATCGACGTGTCCGAGCGTTTTTCCAGATTCTCGTCCCAAATCCAATAAATCGGGGTGGACTGTTTTCCCTGGGACACCCTGTATGTTATTTTCTTAGGGCCAAGCAAATTCGAAATTGCTACATTTTGTGTTTAGCACAAAATTATAGGAGACGCCCCAATAAAAACCGAAAATTCAGGTAAATGGGTTCTAGGAAATGGCACATAATTTTAGTTAATTAGGTAAATTCCAGCTATATATTTTTAAATAAATTAAATAAAATTACACTTTGTTTACATTTCAAAAATAAGGTTAAATTCATAAAGAATCGAGCGAGATCGATGGGTTATCGATATCGAATTCTTGAGAGTTGAGAACGCAATTCGTAGAGAAATTTCGTGAAATCAGCAACCACATGGCAACACTTGAAGAAAGCAGCCAATAGAAAATCTAGGCGCGTGACGTCACCATCCTAAGAATTTTGAATTTCAATTAAAAATTTAAGGCCTTTCCCGGTACCAAAAAAATCCTAAAAAAATATTTCTGGGCTTAATTTCGATTACCCTTTCAGATAAGCAAATAAAAAAAAAACGTGGGAAAGACCCATTTGTTTTGAAATTGACGTGCTTTTATTTCTGTGCTTGTCATATGGTGGTAGCACATATCCATTTACATTGAAATAAAATTGAAGCCATTGGCCAATCCAGC